TCGAAGATGAGAAGATTTGTTGAACCAGTTTTCAAGACCGACAACCGAAGATGAAGAACAGTTCAGAAGAATCGAGGAGCGTCCCTGACTTGAAGACCGGTTCAGGGGGCTACTGACGGTGTCCTGGACTAGGGGGTACTCACCACGTCATCTCCTGATCTGTTAGATTGGGCCGAGGACCCCCATGGCCGTATACTCATGGGCCAGTTCGGACAACTGCCGCATACATGGAAGATTCCACAAGACTTGGTGATCAAGACAAGGACTCCTCCCCACTGGCGTATTCGGCTAGGGCTCTTGTTATCCTAGGCCTCTGGTGCATTATATAAACCAAGGCCAGGCTAGTCGATAGATATATACAACAATCATACCATAGGCTAGCTTCTAGGGTTTAGCCTCTACGATCTTGTGGTAGATCAACTCTTGTAATGCTCATATCATCAAGAACAATCAAGCAGGACGTAGGGTATTACCTCCATCAAGAGGGCCCGAACCTGGGTAAACATCGTGTCCCCTGCCTCCTATTAGCATCTATTCTAGAAGCACAGTTCGGGACCCCCTACCCGAGATCCGCCGGTTTTGACACCGACACCCATCACTTGATCTTTGACAGAAATAAATTCTGGCCAAAAATCTAGGTAAGTGAGGTTATCTTGGGTAAGTTTATGGTTAGAAATAAGATTATTTTGGATGTGGATGAAACATGTAAGACATTCTTGAGATATAAAGGACGATCCTGCGTAGGAAAATGTGTTTAGCCAACATTAGATATTTCCATACCTGCTCCGTTAACCACATGGACTTGATCATTGCCTGTGTATTGATCATGTATTATGAGCTATCTTTGTTCACCCGCGATGTTGCTGCTTGCCCCGGTGTTGGCATACCAATTAGTATCCACAACATAGGATTTTGCCACTGTGTCCGTCGTCTTCTTCAAGGTTACTGGTGGTGTTAGAAAGAGGTTATCATCCTTTTCTAGTAGTTGTACGCTTTGTGGCCTTCTTTGCGACAAATCTGGCACTTCTCTTCAGTATCACCCCCGTTGTTGCCTTGACATTCGCCTCCAACATGATAGCCGCTCCCACCCTGGTAGCCACCACCAGGATGACCACCGCTAGGATAGGAACCGTTGTTGCCTTGCTTCATTTTGGATTGGTAGCTGCTACTGCTACCACGATCAGGACCATCATAGTCACTACCATTATTCCAGTGTGGACCCCAGTAGACGCCCGCCCCCTTTGTTGGCATGATTGGTAGATTATTTGCCCGCCTAATTTTAGGCTTCAGGGTGCCCTTTTGCTACAATAAGTTTCCCGTACAAATTGCCAAGGGACAAGGACAACTAATTTGCATGACTAGTCATTGCAGAGATGGTGAAGACAGAAGGATTATAGTTGTTGTCCAGCCCCGCAAGGATTTGTGAGATCATATCATCTTCATCCACCTTGTTCCCGATGGTTTCCATCTCATCTGCTATTCTTTTCATCTTGGTGAAGTATGCAGTCGCCGTCATCTTCCCCTTCTTTGTATTTGCGAGCAAGGTGTGAAGTTGAATTTCTCAGGCACGAGATTGAGACGAAAGCATCACTATAAGGAGCTTCCAAAGTGGTGTAGAAAATGTGATATGGGAGACTTGAGCGAGGACCTCTCGGGAGAGGGATCTTGATAAATCCAAATTTCATGCAACGGATTTGATACCTTCTTTGTGCCAGATTTATCCGGCTCCTGGACCTCCACCTTGTTCCGGTGGTGTCGTCGAGGTAACCAAACATCCTTGTGCCTCTGCTCTGTGGGGTACCTAAGCTTTCCAGAGAAGGAAATTATTTGGGTGAGGCACTCCATGACCTACTAACTCAAGGGATTGGTATATAACAGGAGAGATTTACGGAGGTCGGTTCAAGTTGTGCGAGACTTGATCCGTACGACAACTTACAAGAGATAGGATCAATTTGTACAACAACGTGAACTAGATTACATCAATTCCAAGATGAATACAACAACGTACACACATGGAAATACTGTATAGGTATTTCAACATCACATTTGCAACACTCTGAACATTTGTATGTTGTAGGATGAGATTATCCAACACGGTAAATGGCCAAGTTGTAGGATAAATATTTGGCCTTCAACATTATTAGAATGTGTTGGAAAGCAACGACAAGTGGAAATCGAGGAATGATGACGCTCCTCCAATGCATGGGAAGTCATGGAACATTTTTCTTCCGAGATGGACAATGGTGAGGAAGATGGTGGTGATGGAGAGGAAAGAGTACCTAGAAGTCCCACTCCATCATCTAGGATGGGTTGGCTTAATGGAAGGAAGGTGTCAATGGAGATGCTCAAGAGATAAGGAGAGGTTGAGGCAATGAAAAATAAGATCGATGAGTTTATGAAGTCGGGGAATAAGTTACTGGATATACGACCCTTAGCTCGTTTGGCTGCAGTGTAATTAATGATTTAATTTGTTATGGCTTATCTTCCTATTATTCACTTGTTTCTTTCTTTCTACCACTAGGCCACAAAATTAAGATGCAAATATAATCCTTAATCCGATTAAATGCAATAGAGAAGTAAGAGACAATGTACTTTGATAATTATCTAAAAAATCCACTATCTATGACATGTCAAGTTAAGAGCCAGTACATTAGAGTAGTGTCGGTGCTACATGTTGTATATGATGTCAAGTGACATCACAAAAGTTGGATTAGCAGCACTAATACACCTATGCCTACGTATATGCATGCGTACAGGGAACATATCCAGTGATACATATGTTTCCCATGCTACGGTGCAATGGCAACCAATGAATTCATATCGGACGAACAAGATTGGTGTGGAAGCACCCCTTATCTAATGTTTAGGAACCACCCTGAGAAAGTGAAATATTGCGAAGGGATGTTCTAGTCCATGGCACATTTATATTTGCATTCTTATATTTGGTCTTCTTCTCATTCCAGGTCCTTCCCCATTCTAGTTCCTTCTACCAAATCGCTTTCCTATGGAAACATGGAAGACGAGGAAGAGTGACCAAAAAGCACATGTACAATTTGAGCTATCTATTTCTGTTTTAGTCCAAGTTGATGTCCGTTTCTCCTTTTGTTTCTCAATCTTGCTCTTCAATGTCCATGTTACTCAAATGAAGGCGTGCATGCAACATAGATTTCAAATTCACATATTATGTAGTTGCTCCACTCGATGCGGTGATAGATCACAAGGACCTATGCGGGGACTGTGATATTGGTGTTGAATCTGTTTTGTCCAGGGCTAATAGGGATGCCTCTAGATTTTTTTGTTTTCATCTAATTTTGACCAAATTTTGGGTGTCGTTGGTATCCATGCCATAAAGTAGAAAAAATCTGAGAAGTGAAGCATCTTTTAAGGGACTGTATAGAAAAGAACATCAAACGTTGCATCCTATCCCTTCATTTATGCTTTAACGGGTGCCATTGTTCCATGGCATGGTAGCATGGGCAGGTCGGTAGCACCTGATATGCTCTTCACATATACATAGCTTTGACATCACTTGCTTTGACTCCTAGTAGCACCGTCACTGCATTAGAGTGATTCAAATCATGCGGTGTAAGGAACGGGTGGAAGGCAAACGAGGTGTCCGACGTCAACGAGTTAGGGCATGTATAATGATGCTATCTTAGGAGTGCCATGTAGAATAAATAATGAGGTGGAGGAGAGAGAACTCATAAGAAAAGACTTATCTTCTCTTATTTAAGATAAGACAAGAGATGATATCTTAGCATAATATCTGTCACCACGTTTTTAGGTTAAGAAATGACTCATTGTAGACATCTTTTTTGTCATCTCTTAATTACATGCAAGACCTAAGATAAGAATATCTTATCAACCATTGTACATGGGGAACGAAACATGTGCAATTTATCCCAAAAGGAAATGGGGCTGTAAAAAAAAACCTCCCACGGGGAGTCGCGCGGATTCCAAGGCACCCTGCGGACTAGGAGCGGCGGCCGCCGGAGCCCGCAGGGGGGAGCCGGGTAGGGCCGGAAGGGGGAGCTTTCCTCTGAAGCAGACGAGGTTGAGGTGCTGCTGCGCCCGTGATGGAGGCAGGAGGATTCGATGTCGGTGGGATCGATTGGGTTGCAGGGGACCGCGACACTCCTTCAGGTAGTCCGTACTTAAATCTGCAGAATCTGGCGGACTTCAGTGGATGCCTGTTCTCAGAGTTGATTACCTAGTGTCGATTCTACCAGCATTAGTCTTATGCTACTATTTCGAATTCTTAGGGCTATGATGAAATCATGTTTGCTGCTCCAAAATTATCGAGTTTTAGTAAACAAAACAATTTGAGACACAATAGCCTGTTAGTTGTCGAAACAAGATAGTAACTGGATTTGAGAACCTCAACGATTGAAAATGTGAATACATTCAGCCAGATAGCAGCACCCTGTTAGTCGTTGAAATGCGAGTTTCTTCTTTTTAAGTTTCATTAAGGCTCTATTTTCTAAGTGCTATGATGATATTTAAACTGCCAAAACGTCTTACATTTGTTTACAGAGGGAGTACTTGTGAACGAGTAATTTGTATGCTGAACACAAACACACCGCATCACCATTCACAAATCTTGATTATACCAGCAGTTTCCGAAGCTAGTTTTCACTGGAAATTTGTTTAGTTTCCCACAATATTCTTCGGAATTATATAAGCCAAGTCATCTTTTAGGCCATGTTAGTCGGTAATGGGCTTTTCGTAGGGAACATGTATCAACTGAACCAAAGATAGACAATCTTGCATAAAATATTTGAACTGTTGAACTTTACAAAATTACAACGGGCCCTTCTCTGATAGTTACAATATACAGTATATATACATAATTGAACTACTGATCTAAGAAATACGTTAATTGCCTAAGAAACGGATACCGAATATTCCGTCTCTAAACTTACTTTCCTGTGTTCCCTACTGCCAAGTGCCAACACTCTATTAGCTATAGCGAGATCTGAAGCTGTTTTCAGATAGCCTCTCTATCTTCTTTGGAAGTTCAAGACTTTGATGGAGAAGGCAAAAACGAAAGCGAAGAGAACAGTGAATCCTACAACACCGGCAGCCATAAAACCTACGTAATCATGCCTGAATCCAAAGAATCTGTGGATGAAAGCGTTCACTTGTTCCCCATCCTCCAGCGTAACGTCTGCAATGTCTCCATATTGTGAGGCAACAAGCCCGTAGAGTGTCCATGCCACCGGGCATGCCCATGAGTACCACCTCCACCATATTGGTATCCTCTGCAAGCCAGACAAGACACATATAGTTTAGCATCGGCAGTATGGAGAAAATGTACAGGTTGGTTCACTACAAATAAACCAGTCATAGGACACTTACTGGTCGGGGGACTAGGAAACCGGCAAAGATATTCCATACTGCATAGAATGCAGTTGCGACTATGGCAGCAATGTCGCTGTTTGGCGTCATGGCGACTGCCATCATCCCATAAAATGTGAAGTACAGGAAAGTGAAGAACATGAAGAAGATGTACCAAAAGAATTTGATAAATGCCCAGTCCAAGCCAATCAAGCTGTAAACAATCAGACCATAAATAATGGTCTGTAGGAAGACATGTGGGATCTCAATGAAAACCTGTTGAATGGTTAACATCATTAGATTTTGTAAAAAAAAAGTTGAAGGAGCAAAAGTTCAATCTTTTCGTTTCAAATATTCTGCAACGACCATTACCTGTGCAAAAGCATAGGGTAGAGCAGAGTACATGCCAGCAGCTTTTTCTCGGTAAAAAACTGTTCGCTCGACGTCGACAATAGGTTGAACGCATTGGCCATTCTGAATTCCAATGAAAATAACTGCTGCATACATGGAACCCAAAGAATTGAACAGGTCCTGCCTCTTGCCGCTGAAAGTAAAGATGAAGTACATATAAGTTTCTTTCTCACGCTGTGTCATTATGGATCAGTGTCAGCTGGAGTTGTTAGCGAAGGTACTTACATTTTCTGTCCTAGGTTCAAAAAGATGGTGCCAAAGATGAGAGCAATAACCGTCGTGAAGAATATTCTAGTTGCAGTGTATGATGGATTTCTCCAATAGGACTTATGCTGCTTCCACAGGCAAGCAATGCATTGTGTGAAGAAGGACTGTGCATACTGTTTTGGGAAGTACAGGTCCGTCGATCCACGTGGAGGTGTGCTTAGGTCACTTATCAAAGCTTTGTTCCTCCTGACATGATGCATTTGAATCAGTGAAATGATGGAGAAGTATACAAACATACAGAAACAACGCTCTGAGACTGCAACATACCGGTATAGGTCAGAATTCATGTATACTTCGGCAAAGTTGACACCCAAGGCATCTTCCTGAGCTAGGGTGGTCACTTCTAACATCCAGGTTGCAGGGTTGTATCCATCCTTGATTTTCTTCACACCTTGTATTCCCTACAGTTGGGGCACCAAGCAAGGTTATCATGCATGCCATAAGCTGGAAATCGGGTGCTCTGTTCACCAGATCAGTAAGGAGCCTCACCTCAAAGTAATCGATCAGATGGCATGAGTTGTGCCCCAAGGGGCCGACATAAATTTCTTCTCCTCCCCGTTTCATCAGGAACAGCTGTAAATATTCAAGAATAACATGTGAGTTCTCACATGAGACAATCAATACTTCTACAGATCACACAATTTCCTTGTCCTTGCTGCAATTTACCTCATCAAAAGCTTCAAATATGTCGATGCTGGGCTGGTGGATGGTGCAGACAACTGTTCTTCCTGTGTCTACTGTGTTTCTGACCGCCCTCATCACGATGGCAGCTGCCCTTGCGTCCAGTCCAGAAGTTGGTTCATCCATGAATATGATGGAGGGGTTGGCAACAAGCTCAACAGCAATGGTGAGCCTTTTACGCTGTTCGGTGGATAAACCATTCACTCCTGGCAGTCCCACCAATGCTCCCCTCAGTGATGTCAGCTCGACGAGTTCCATGACTTGTTCCACAAACATCTGAATTCATGAAATGGACTCCAGAGATCAGTTGCAGTGTGCATATTAGATGAGCTACTTATGAACTAGCAGAATAAAGGTCATTCAACTTACTTGTCTTGCTTCTGAGTCTACATCAGGGGACAACCGGAGCCACGCCGAGTACACGAGGGATTCATAAACGGTGACATGTGGAGAATGGATATCATTTTGCTCACAGTAACCAGCAATCCGGGCAAAAGTGTCTTGGTTCTTCGGGTATCCAGAGATGCTGATGTCTCCTTCAATGTAACCGCCAGTTTTCCGTCCCGCCAACACATCCATCAGAGTGGTCTTTCCCGCCCCGCTGACGCCCATCAATGCTGTAAGAACTCCTGGCCTGAAAGCTCCACTAACACCTTTCAGGAGCACTAGCCGGTCTTCAGTAATACCTTTGTCTTTCATTTCCTGTCAAAGATTTGTGCATCACAATTAGTATCTGTCATTAGTGCCAGCTGCCGCTGCGTTGAACCCGGGATAGAACTTCTTGGTTATGCTTACCTGAGGCATGTCCACAGAATATCTGATATTGTCAAAGGTGATTGACAAGGGAGTAAATGGAAGTGCCATTCCCCTCTCCCTGGTGTCAGCGCCAGTGATTTCTCCTCCTCCTGCATTTGTTACACTTGTCACAATGATGCAACGGTGGAAATGTGTTCCTTGATGCAGTCTATGCAAGAATTTCTACTGACCGTTGGAAGGTGAATTCTGGGAATCGTTTCCAAGAAGCAGCAACTCTACATTTTCTCCGGTGCGGTTCACATGCTTCTCCATCAGTTCCTCTTCAGAAACAACATTTTGGCCCTTTCCAAGTGCTGTGGATAGAAGAAGGATGTCAGCGCCAACGTAAGATGTTAACGATGCGCGAATCAATGCATTTTACGGCTGGGGAGAAGGTACTCACGGTCAAGCAAGTCGAGGAACACAATGAAGAGTACATTGAAGAGCATGATGTACCCAAGTAAGGCACCAACACCGATCCAGTACCAGTTTGGATCGACAAAGATGCCGCGCGACTTCAAGACTTGTACGCCTAGCGTGTCATTGCTGTCTGTCGGATCAACAACCTGTGCAAAGATTGGCATTTTTTTTATTATCTGTCTGAAATTCGACTGATCAAGGGTCCAGGAGACGCTGCATTACCATCCTCCAGCTATGCCCAAGGAACTCGTTCACCGCTATGGCGTTCTGGGCATACATCAGAGGGGAGCACCAGTAGCCCCAAATCCACCATGCCTTGATGTTATCTGCAGAAATGGAACTCACAACTCAGCATGATCTTCTTGACAGTTGAAACTGCATGAACAGAGGCTGAATGGAGGGAGATTCGACATACCTCTAGCTATCAAGAAGCCGCCGAGAACCAGAAGAACAAGCTGAGCAAACGACCCAAACGTGTCTGCAACAACCATATCCCTTCCTAATGCAGCAAGAACCCGGAAGAGACCCGATGCCATCTGGCTGATCAGCACAAGCAGCAGGTAATGGCGGAAGAACCTTTCGATGTTTGGATCGAAGCCAATGACATAGTAAGTCATGCAGATCCACACGGCACATTCCAGGAATGATATCGGGATCTTGAGCAGCCATGTAGGCAATCCATACGCCCATGATGGATAGAAGAGCAGGTCCCTCTGCTTGTAGAATATAGGCAGCTTTGCAATGCTCATGGCGAGCTCGGCGAATCCATTGAACAAATGCGTGACCAGGCCGAGGAACATCGCGCCCATGTAGATCACTCCATCCTCGACTGAGTCCCGGTGCATCTCCGTACGCAGGAAGACAGTCATTGCGATGGTCCCAAGGATTATGAGCTGGTACAAACACATAACATTCATCAGACATCACTATCCGAATTCAGAATTGAGGAAAATTTCAACAAGCGGGATGCATACCTGAACTATTTTAAAGATGTAAACAAACGAGTTCCTCTTCATCAGCAGCCACTCCCTAGAGACGCATGCCTTCAGAAGCTCCATCTTGCTGATACCGAACTTGGAAGTCGTGAGCGCAGCAGGGTGGTTCCTGGTTCGATCGAACGGCACCCTGAGCTCCGAGCCCATCTTACGGCCAACATGGAATGCTTTGAATGCCTCCGTGAAGTCGTTGACCGAGATGTATCGGTATGGCTCGTCACTTCGGCACCAGTACTGGTGCTGATCCTTCCTAGATGTTACCTGTGAATTCATGATAAACACGGTCAAATTTTGAGTTCCTAGTCCCAACGTGCAGCACAGAGAGCTCTTGTGTATCACATACTTCTTGCAAGAAGTCTGCAACACCCTTCCTCTCAGGGCATCTGAATCCGACGGCCTCAAAGAACTCAAGGACGCTTTCTCGAGGACCCTGGTACACGATTTTCCCCTCGGTGAGCAGAACAATGTCATGAAAGAGCTCGTATGTTTCAGGCGCAGGCTGAAGCAACGCGATCAATGCCGTGCCACCGAGGATGTGGACAGATTGCCTGAGGGAGTTGATGATCTGGTACGTTGTGGAGCTGTCCAAACCGGTGGAGATTTCATCCATAAACAGTGCCTTTGCTGGCCCGACAAGCATCTCGCCTATTTAAATTTCAATGATGTTAGAGATCTGATTTCACTGTCATGATCAAAAGGGCATCATTATGCGCATTTATTCCTTCACTGCATATTGCATATACCTGTGGTGACACGCTTCTTTTGTCCTCCTGAGATGCCTCTGATCATACCGTCCCCAACCATTGTATCTGCACAGATTTCCAGACCCAAAATCTGAACGAAAAATGCAAGTGTGTCAGCGGCATATGCATTTTTTTGGCTTATTTTTCATGTTATGTATGGTGCTCACTTTGAGGATGTAATCTGTGATCACGCTCTCTTGACCTTCCACAGAGATGGCCTGTTTGGATAGAGGAGCAGAATAACTTAGTAACTGTAGTTTGTTTCTATTTACTTCAGAAAGGCAATACCGTTTACTTCTAAATAAATAAGGTTCTTGATTCACAGTGTATATGCAATAACTGCTCACCTTCATGTAGACATCAATGTCAGGATCTGGCTTGATGTTGGCTTCTTTCTCCCTTCTTGAGAGTTCAGTAAGCATGTCTGCAATTTGAAACCACGATAAGAATCACTTTGCAATTTGTGAATAGCAAGATATCCCTTTTTCCAGCTCCCATGTCACTTACCGTAACGGGTTCCGACTCCTTGACATCTCGCAGAGAAGGCCAGTGTCTCCCTCACCGTCATTTCGCCGATGTGAAGGTCATGCTGCCCGATGTACGCTGATGTCCTCTGGGGGACAAATTCATGCATGTCATGCCCGTTGTAAGTCACTCTCCCTGACACCTGAACATTTCCAATTTTAAATTCATCATGTTACAACTTACATCTCTATATCTTCCCTGATCATATTGCAAATTTCTGTATCGAACGAAAAACAGAGTACTCAGAATCACGAAAGGATGTGAAGATGGGGTACCTTGAGAGTTGAGTCCAGCTTCCCTGCCAGGGCCAGGAGTAGACTAGTTTTTCCGGACCCAGGGGGGCCAAGCAACAAGGACATTCTGAAGAAACTCCACACGATTAAAACATGGAAAGAACTGTGAGATGATGCAAAACAAACAGGCCCGTGACCTCTCGCTCACCTGCCGGGTCTTACGATTCCGCTGATGTCATGGATGATAGAGATGGGCCTCTTCCCGCTTGACACGATGCGCAGAGCACTCAGCACATTCTGAAGGATTGAAACAAACAAGGATCAGAAGCTGAAGTCGGAACCACTCGGCGTGAACTTTGTTGGGTTCTCCCATTCCATGACACTGAAGGATCATGAAGCTGCTGCGCCGAAGATGCATACCATGATTTTGTTGGAGAAGAAGTTGATGAACGTCGGGATTCCCCGGTTGCCGACGTAGGCCTCGGCGTCGATGTTGAGGTTCTGGAACCGCACCTCGATCGTCGGGTTCTCGATCCCAACCCTGCCAAGCACATCAAACATCAGCGCCCGTCGTGCCGAGAGAGAAATGGATGGACAGAGCTACAGAAGCGAGGTGATGAGCTGAGCTGAGACGCACCGCTCCATCCGGTCGCGGAGCTTGAGGAGGAAGCGCTCGTTGTCCTCCTCGGCGGTGCGTATGAGGCGCTCGATGAGGTTCTTCCTCTCGTTGAGGCCGAGCCCCTGGATGTCCACCTCCTGCCCGGCGCCGCCGACGCCGGCGACGGCGCCCGGGAGCAGGATGCCCTTGCGCATGCGGTCGTACGTGGGGAGCTTCTCGATGGCCGCCCAGCGCAGCGCCTCCTCGTCGTCCTCCTCCCTGGCCGACCGCCCGAAGGCGTCGCTCCTCCCGGACGTCCCCCGCCACGACGACGCCGTCCGCCGCACGCCGCTCCCGCCCCCCGCCGAGCTCCCCATCCTCACGATCTCCATCGGCCCCTCCTTCAGCCGCTAGCCGCCGTTGTTCGTGCTGCTAGCTGCCTTTATTCTTGCTTTGCTGATGCTCTCGTGGAAGATGCGCACGAGAGGGTTGGAAATGGCTCGTCAGTGGCTGATGACTGACTGACGGACTGTCTGAGGAGAAGGTGCCGGGGCACGAGCTATATATGCCCGCGCCCCCGCGCCGTCGGCTTGCCGGCGAACACGCGGTTTGCTGGCGCGATTAGGGCGTCGTGATCGAGAGTACGACTACGTACCAGGGTGGCGGGCGTGGAATCGCATGGGTCCTTGTCGTTCGGCTCTAGTCTCTAGTCGGTCTAGGCTCGAGCGTGCATGGTTTGACCCGCCCAGCGCATGAACGGCTTGACCCGTTCAGGTCGCCTCTGTCGGACGGACGCTGCCGTCCAGCCCGGACGCGGCGTCCACCCGTGGCCGTCCATCGGTGGATCGGAGGGATTCTGTACGGAGATCAGGGAACTGGACTTTCAAGCCGGCGGGCCGGCCGGCTGTGTGGCGGTGGCTGCTGCAGGTAAACGTCGGTTAGGGGATGCTTGTTTGTGACGTTGGCTAGCCACTCTCTTGATTTCACATTACTAGAAGGAAATGATTCTCAAACATGTATTATCACCAAAGTTAATTTTCACAAAAGTGACCTTCACACTATTCATGTAGATGATGATGTAGCTACTAGTTGCTTTGCTTAGGTTTTCTGTTGTCAACTTGGCTCCTTCCCTTTTAAGAATTTGGGTGTGCCCCTCCATTTAAAAAAAAACTTAAAAAGGAGACATACAACCTATTATTGACAGAATTATTGAAGACATCTCTGGTTGGTTAGACAGGAATCTTTCCTATAGGGGTAAACTTATCCTCCTCGACACGTGCATTGCTAGTATTCCTACTTACCTTATGTCTATCATGAAGTTTCGTAAGTGGGCCACTGATGTCATCACTTCCCAAATGTCTCATTTCTTCTAGGGCAAATTGGGCAATCATCATAAGTACCATCTTGCTTGTTAGGGTTTAATCTCCAGAAGAAGAAAAAAAGAATTTGGGGGTATGGGTGTCCCTAATCTTAGGGATTTTAATTTGGCAATGTTGGCCTTTTGGAGTAAGAGATTGTTTGATGGTAGACCCAGTGATTGAAAAAACTTCTGGAGTATAAGTATGCTACTGACAAACCACATTTTGTCGGACAAACCTAGACAGGGGTCTCCTTTTTGGAAAAGTATCTCTTGGGTTTTTGCTTCTGCAAAAAGCTTTTACAAGTGGAAGATTGGTGATGGGCAAAGTATCTCCTTTTGGCATGACATTTGGCTTGTTAATGCTTCTTTGGAAACCAATTTTGGGATCTATTTGCGATTTTTCAACAATAAAATGCTTCTGTTGCCCAAGTGTGGGATGGTACTTCTCATAAGATATCCTTTAGGAGATGTGTTGATGAAGTACTCATGGGTCAGTGGTTTGATTTGCTTAATTTGGTCAAAATTGTAACTCTTACTTCTGGTAGTGATGCTCCCATTTAGTTGCTTCAACCTTCTGGTTCCTACTCAATTAGATTCCGAAATTGGGTTCCTCTTCCGAACTGAGAGATGCTATATGGAAGATTAAGGTTCCTTATAATATACTTCCTCTGTTCCAAAATTCTTGTCTTAGATTCGTCTAGATACGGATGTATCAAAATTCTTGTCTTAGATTCGTCTAGATACGGATGTATCAAAATTCTTGTCTTAGATTCGTCTAGATACGGATGTATGATACATCCGTATCTGGACAAATCTAAGACAAGAATTTTGGGACAGAGGGAGTACATGTTTTGTTGTAGCTCATTATTAATAACAAGAGTCTACTCGAGACAACTTGGCTAAACATAGACATGTTGATGATCTGACATGTGTCTTTTGTAATGAGCTAGAATCGATCCATCATCTACTTTTTTGTTTGCATTGTTGCAAAAAAATATTTGGAATGTGATTGCTGATACTCCCAATATCTCAATTTCAATTCCTAGTCTTTTGATGACCTAGTTCCTTTCTGGAAACAAAGAAAAACACTATGAAGTTGTTAACATCTTTACTGTTGCTACCTTGTGGGCTTATGGCGTTTTCGTGATGATTTTGTCTTTCAGAGTCGAAGGTGGCGAAGTATGAAATGCATCCTGGCTTCGGTAGGCGCACTGGTTTGACTTTGGAAGGTGCTCTACGTCGGTGCCCAAGCTACGCGGCTTCTTGAGTGTCTCCGGCTGCCTAGTCATCGCTGTAGGGAGCTGCTTAGGATAGCTTGGCACTGATCCATCTATCTTAGCCCAAGACTTTAAATTCCTCCATGTTTGCAATAATTTGTCGTAGCTACTTTGTGTTGTGACCGAGAGCTGTGAAATGTTTATGATGTTGGATACTTGGCCTTGAATTTTTTAATAAAAAATTGGGGCAGACGGAAATGCCCTTTTTTATTAAAAAATGCATTGTGGCGGGACATTGAGGTGTAACCGAATATTTCATTGCGTTTCAATAAATTTGAAAAAAATTGTTATAGAATGCAACATATATATAATGTTTGAGAAAGTCGCAAATGCACGTGTTGCAAATGCATTTGGAGCTGCATTCTACTCCATTGGTCAGCGGCTCGTCGTTGCCGCGACGGACCGGCTCACTCGCACCACGTCCTGTCCCGTCATGCACCCTGGTTCCGTCGCTAGGAAGTAAGTAGTGCGCGCGTACGTACGAGGAGTCTAACAGGTCACGTCTCCACTGCCGTCCCCCTCGGTGCACCGCGCCGCGTCAGCAGTTCACGAGCGGCCGGTCAACAAGGGCCTGCGCTTCTCGACGCCACGAACAGGACAATCAGGGCGGCAGACGTATGCATGGTCCGCCAAGGTAGATCAAGTCACGGCGCCTCACTTTCAAAAAAAAAAAAAGTCACGGCGCCTCCGGTCCAGTCAAGGATGGATAGCCCGCCGGCTCTCGGATAATTGGATGTAGTGCTGCTGCTGGTGTGATTCTTCGAACGAGAGTGGTACACCGAGATATCCGGGTACTGGTTGCAGTGGACCTCGACGGTCATTTCGCTTGACGAGAAAAACTTGTCTCTCCCGCCCGCCAGACTTGTACTACTCGTACTATCATCCTCGTTTACTTACTTCCGCCAAGAAATGATTTATTTTTTGGCGGGAAGAGAAATGACATTGCATGGAATATAATATACTCCCCCTAAAGAAATACTCCCTCCGTTTTAAAATATAAGTTTTTTTAGACATTTTAAATAGACTACAACATACAGATGTATGTAGACATATTTTAAAGTGGAGATTCACTCAATTTACTTTCTATGTAGTTACTTGTAGAAATCTCTAGAAAGACTTATATTTGGGAACAGATGAGTATAATATAGAGAGTGTACCATGCATTGATCCACCAATCAGTGTTGTGTTTGAGATCCGTGTTTTTTAGGTTTGGTAAATTGTAAACCACACAAAACAGAATATAAAAGGACAGATGCTTTCTAAAATTTCGGTGTGTATCAATAAGTTCAGTCTCAGACAACCACATGGTATGTGTGGTAAGAGCATATCCAGCCGCGCCCCCAATAGTCCTCTCTCAGGCGTTTTTTCGGCGCTGGCGAAAATCGATCCAGTCGCGTCCTCATGAACCCGTTTTTCGTCGGTTTGGGCTGAAATTGGCGCCGGCGGACCCAGGCCGAACCGGCGCGCTGGGGGCGCCTGGGGCCGAACGCGTTTTTGGCGCTAACGGGGATGGGCCTGCCGCGTCAGTGAGACGCCGCTTCATCGTCCTCATCGCCTCGGTTCCCGCGGGAATCAATGTCAAGGCTGGCCAAGGCTGCCGCGCTGTTGCGCCGGTCAGCCTTCATTGATGTCTCACGGGCGGCGCAGTGAAGGCGCCATCGACACGTGTCCCGCCCGCTCCCACCACGCGTCGCTCGGCATGCAGGTTCTCGCCGCCCGGACCCGGCTATAAAAGCCGATCCTCCGCCAGTGAACACCACAACTGCCACATTTCACCTCGCATCGTCACACAAAGCAGCACACTCCCTCCTTCCCGCCGACGAGCAAATGGCTAAGAGGTTCCCAAGCGACGGCGCGACGGCATACGGCTTCGGCCCCCGCCATCTCCAAGAGTCGGAGGCACGCCTCCTCTACGAGGCCGAGTATCCGGCGCCCCCCGATATGCGTGTGTCGGGGTCGTGGAAGCTGAGCGCCGGCGGCGTCCCGGTGCCAGTGGTGCCCGAAGGGGCGGCACGGCGGGCCGAGATCGCCCGCATCCGCTCGTCGCTGATGGAGGAGCAGCGGAATGAGTCAAGGTACGCCGCCGACAGCCACACGCTGTGGATGATGTACTTCGAACGCCGCCGTGAAGATCAGATCGCCTCCACCAATGGCATCATCCACCACGGACGCCTCAACGCCGACGGGCGGCGTGACTGGTGGGGCGTGCCCGGACGCACCCTCAAGGCCGTCCTCGACCACATCGAGACCGGCAACACGCCGCGCCTCGAGTACCCGCCGCGGCCGTCCTTCTCTCGCCTTTGTGGCAGCTCCTGGACGCCGCGGCGAATGGAGCCGGGGACGTCCTCGTCGTCGGGCTGCGGCTCGCTCTCCTCCGGCTCGCCGGCGCTCCGCCCCGTCAAGCCAAATCCGGAGGGTGCGCCACTCCGGCGCCGCACCCGCAGCGGCGCCCTCGTCATCAATGAGGGTGCCCTCCCCTTCCCGCGCTCCCTCTGCCTGGTCTGGCCGAAGCCCGAGCCGGGGCTGCTCCCCGTGAAGCCGGAGCACGCGTACATGGTGGCCCCCGACGACGACGACGCCCTCAAGTGGGTGAGGGAGGATTACGTCCGCAAGCAGGTGCTCCGCCAGCGTCGGGCATACGCGGAGCTCCAGGCCCGTCGCCTGGGACGCGAGGAGGGTGGCGTCATCGTCCTCGACGGCGACGATGAGGACGAGGCCGGGCCATCCAACCCCCCACCGCGCGCCGGCGACCCTG